CCGTTCCCAAATTCCCTTCTCAAATCCCGTTCCCAAATTCCCTTCCCAAATTCCCTTCCCGTTCCCATCCCAGCGCCCCACGAGGGTGGGGAGAGAGGGCTGGAATCCCTTCCCAAATTCCCAAATTCCCTGCCCCTTCTCCGATTCCCTTCCCAAATTCCCTCCCCAAATTCCCAGCCCGTTCCCAAATTCCCTTACCGTTCCCATCCCAGCCCCCCACGAGGGTGGGGAGAGAGGGCTGGAGTCCCTTCCCAAATTCCCAAATTCCCTGCCCCTTCTCAGATTCCCTTCCCAAATTCCCAGCCCATTCCCAAACTCCCCAAAATCCCAAATTCCCTGCCCATTCCCAAATCCGCTTCCCAAATCCCCGTTCCCAAATACCCTTCCCAAACTCCCTGCCCGTTCCCGAGCCCGAAACTCTTTGGGATTTTTTTCCCCGTTTTTTTTCCCTAAAGCACCAAAGCCACTCACCCCTTCGCCGCCGGCTCTCTGCCCACCCTCTCCTTCCCACGGTGAATTTATCCTTTTTCCCCCTTTTTTCCCGCCCGCAATCCTCACAGAATTCCCCAAATCCCACAAATGTGGATTTTGGGATCGGCAGCCCACACAGAAGATCCCCAGCAGGGCCCTCCAGGGGCACCGATCCCATTGTTCGGGAAAAAATCCGGCCCCGCCCCATCCCGGCCGGACTGGTTTGACTGGGATTGCCCGAACTTTCCACCTTGGGATGCTCCAAAATTGGGGAAATTTTGGGAATTCAGCGCAGAGCGGMCCCACAGCTGTCCCGGCTGTGGGTGGTGGCACCTGCAGAGTGTCGCTGTCACCCCAAAACCACCGTGTGGGTGTTGTGGGAGCAGAAATCCCATTTTTGGGGAGCGGGGCCAACAGCAGAAATCCCATTTGGGGGGGTTTGGTGCTGTTGGGGCCCGGCAGAGCCCCCCTTTTCCTCCCCAAATTCTTTGGGGCCGCTCGTTCGTTCCCTCCCCAAATTCATCGGGGTCGTTCACTCGTTTCTCCCCCAAATTCATTGGGGTCGGGCAGAACCCCCCGTTCCCTCCCCCAAATTCATCGGAGCCGTTCGTTCATTCCCTCCCCCAAATTCATCGGGGCCGTTTCGACGGCGGGGTTGGTGCTGATAAGGAGGAAATGAGATAAGAATCGGGGCTGGGGGGGCGAGAGTTTGGGGGGAGGAAATGGGTCCGGGGGGAGTGTGAGTGTGAGTGTGTCACCCCACAGGTGTAAATCG